TGCTGTGCCCCTGCTATGCGCTGTTGGCGTTTAAAAACGTATTTAAAACCCAAGTGTCTTTTGCTCTTTGCGTTAATGGCCTTTGCTTTCAGATTTTGAAAGGGTAAAACACAAATCAAATATTTCTTTGTAGAACAGCGTGCTTTCAGGTGTGACCGTCCCCTGTCACTTTGCAGATGTTGAGATTTGTTTCATAAAACTTAATTTTGTATGCGAGTTACCTGCGGCCTCTCAGCTTATCGTCCTGAAATATTCTCATCCAAAGACCTTGAATATGTTTCATATGATGTAACTCAGACCTGTAAGATTTGCCAAACACATTTCTTAAAAAAGTCTTACGCCTGCAGTTTTTCTTCTTTTTTATCTACTTTTTGCAGTGCTTGTAGGTTAAATTAAAAGATGCTAGGGTTTGGGGGGTTTTTTGCTTCACCTATTAGTCTCTTCTTGTTTAAACTTACAGTTTTTATAGGTAACATGTTAAGTACCCAGCCTCAGTTCCAGTGAGAACTGGCTACCACAAGTACTTTAAAAGTGAAATTCAGTTTTTCGTGTTTCCTAGTTTTGCCACAGAGCCTGGTGACTGTTTTGGTTTGGTTTTTTTTTTTTTCAGTGTTACATTTCAATGCACTGTCATGGTGCTATGATGCGTGGTGTTTTCTTATGAGCTTGGGAGTAGTAATTTTATTAGCATGGAAATAAAATGGATTTAATTACATTTCCATCAGTCTTTAAGAACCTAAATGGAACCTCACTTTCATAATATGAACTGCTGTGTGTTGTCTGAAAAACTGCAAAATTCTGGTACTAGAAATCTTGTTCAGCGTACAAGGAATGAGAGATTACCTTGGTTATCTCTCTGTCTGCATTTCTGTCAATTTTCTGTTCACGGGAAGCATTTGAAAACTTGCATATTGTTCAAAACAACATGTTCCCTGAGTCATGTGAACTACCCATTTGATGGAGAAATTAAGATTCACATTCCATATTCAGAAGAACCATAAAAGATTTGTCTGGGACTTCTTTCTCTGTGTAATCTTCCTTCCAAGAAGGCAGGTGGATGGCTTATTTTAAAATATCCCAGGGCTTTTCAAATGGAGAATGAAGCCAAGCTCAGCTTTTGCTAAGTGAAAGTGCTGTATGGCGACACAAAGCGGGAAGCCCTAAATAATTTCATGTTTATGAAATGGCATAGGTTTGGGTTTTTATCATGAGAGGAGCAACTGCTAACTTAACTTTCTTTACTTTCAGAAGCCATCCATGCCATTTTGGTTTACAGCCAAAGTGCAGAAGAACTTCTGAAACGCAGAAAAGTCTATCGAGAAATAATTTTTAAGTATTTGGCAGCACAAGGAATTTCAGTGCCTCCTTCCTCTGAGAAACGTCTACTTGTTGATCGTGTAAAGCAGTACTGGAGCGGGCAGCTCACAACATGTGCCTCAGAGCCAGGGGAGAGTAAACCACACGCAGAGGTGAGTGCTACTTTCTGAAAGATCTGAGGATGCTTAGCATTGCTTTTGCAGGACAACCAGTGTAAATGTTCTAATGTACTAATGTACACCCAAAATGTGGCACTTCACCTGTATTTAGGAAGGTACTGAATCTCTTTAACTTTTTTTTTTTTTTTAAATTACATCATTTAAAGGTGTCTGTGTCAACATTTGAACTCTAATGTGTGGGGTCTTCTCCATCCTTTTAATTTTTAAATTGTACTGTGAACTAAAATAGAGGGTGTTCACAAATAATTCTGTGGGTTCAGGGACAACTGAAAACAATGTTAATGGTACACAAACCCTGTATAGCCCCTTGCCATTTTTTTAATGGGGTGGATCTTCTTAAACTTTTGGTTCAGATCCAGGATTTCCAGTGATTCTCCAGCCACACCAGATGCTAGTGATACCATTGGTAGGGCACATCCCAGAGCAGAGCAAAGAGATGCTGTCGATAGTAGATCATAGGGCGAAAATGTCTGTAGGACTGTGGTCTAAAATGTTGCAGGGGAGGGAGGGAATGGAGAGAAAACTTGGCTTGTAGTAAGTGGCCTTGATCTACTTCTAGAGGCGGTGCAATCAAAGTAGCACTGTCTGTAAGCTGTTTTCTTTTCATCTCTTGCAGTCAGAGTGCAGAATGGATTTTAGCAAATTTTTGTGTCATTGAAATGTGGTTTGTAGCTGTGCCAGGTCTGTGTCATTTTTTTTTCCCCTTGATATTAGTAACACTTAATACGGTGTAACTAAAGGTGTTTTGGCAATTACAGGTTCTTTTGAAGTTCAAAATTTTGACATTTAGCAAATCCTCGCTGTGTAATGAACTTCCAGTGTTTTATTAGTCTTGGATCTTTACCATGTAGCCCTGAATGGCTCTTTCAAGTGTTGTACTTCTGAGACCTAATGGGCAACAGCCCCACCAGCTGGACTGTTAGAGCTCTGTAGCTGTTGATAACCTACTGCGTTGAGCTTGTTTTCAGGGATTAACTGATGAGAAGTATGATTTAGCTGACCGTTGTTTTCAAAACAATTTTTTCTGTGCATACTTTGGAAAAAAAAAAAAAATGTTGCTCTTGCAAGAACACTTCCCAAGTATCACCCCATAGCGAAGTTTTATGATTGAAGATAAGTAGATTAAATTCTCCGAAGTACTTAAAACACAATCATAAAGAATGAGAAGTTCAGCTGGTTTATTTATTGTGTACATCTTTCCTCGCCTTTATTTTCTTTTCATTCTTGTGGCCCTCATCATTTTGAAGAATGAGTAACATGAACCTACGTAACAGAATTAGAAATTAATTGCAGTTTATTGTGAAACACGTACAGCATTTCTATATAGAAGTCTCTAAACTTTCCATACTTAATACTTACTTAAAACTGAATTTAATACTTACTAGACTTTGACATTAGCAAACTTGACGTTTGACTTACTTCTAAAAGTCTTGCTGTCAAGTTGCAAATACTGAAAAGCCCTACAAAATAACTACACATTTAGTTCTTGTTCAAAAAACACATCACCTTACAGTTGGAGGTCATGTATCTTTTTGTTGGAAAGTTTGGATGGTGTTTCTTAATTAAATAATATTACCTATTATAAGGGAAAGCAGAGGATAAACAAACTACGTATGTACAAATTAAATAGGCTCACAGGACTGTTACTTGAGCATCCGATTGTTGCCTTTTACAGTGACACTTCCTTTAGAAAAAAGTGTCCTCTAACCCAAATGTGTTTTTATAATCAACTTAAAAACCTGTCTTAAATATCTAATTGCTAAGCAACTTGTTTCCTAGAAGTTTGTGCTTAAATTTTGCTGTTCTTCTACACATTGTTGTAGACATACCAAGAATTCAACTGCAATGAATAGTTTTTTTTTCTTAGCTTGACCCATAATAGTATCTAAAAAACCTTACTGCTGACTTTGTTGCAGTACCTATTTAGTGATACAACACTTAGAGTGGTTTGTGACCCTCTTCTGATACGGTTTTAATAACATGACCATTAGTTCCTCACTGGTACTTGCTTTTGCTACTTACTGTGAATTTGGCTTCAAAACTTTATACCCATCACTCTGTTGTCAGTCTCAGCAACCCATCTTTAAACATAAATATTATTTTGAGATCTTTCTTATCCCCCTACATCTTAGATGTATTTTAGGAGTGTGTATGTTTGTCATTTTCTGTAAAACAAGGAAAAAAGGGCACAAGTAGCTTGTCCATAACCGATGGGGAACTAGCGGAAGGTGTGTTTTGAGTAGTTTCATGCTTTTCTTCACTGACCCATTCTTCTCTAAGACTTCTAGACAAGACAAGAATCTATGACTGAGCCTTTTCACATTATTCTTTGAAGGTTTGGCTGTCTGCTAGCAATGTTTACTGTGTCTCGCTACTATAAAATACTTTCTCAGCAGATTCAGTATTCAACAAAGGATTTTATGACAGTCTGAAGAGAGGATTTTATGACAGGCTGAATGGAGTTGCCTTTATTCCCAGAGTAAGCCTATGCTGCTGTGTGAAAATCCCTGCAGCCCTCCCATCCCGATGTCATATCGTCTCAGTCTGTTTTAGGTGATCTGTTGTACAATTAGAAAAGTAACTGAGATTCCTGAAGACTCTTGTCTATTTTGGAGGAGCAAAGGTAACATAAGTTATGGGGTTTTTTTTATGTGGGCTCTTTTCCTATTAGAAGTATGGTGAAGACTGCAAACATCATTCATGAAAGTGACCAAGGATCTTTTGGATGATTTTTGGCAGTCTTACTGCCAAACAGGTCTAAATTTAGGCATGTGATCTGGTGGAAAACAAATTCTGGAACACATTAATTCTCTGAGTTTCGGTTCTTCCTGGATTAGCTGTGCATTTTGTTAGCATATTCCACTGACATAGGTAAAACACCCCCATAAATCAGAAGCATTCTGTCAGCTTCAGGTATTAGGTTATTAGGATGTATTTAGGGCTAGATGGAGGATCCGGGAAACTACAGACCTGTCAGTCTGACCTTGGCGTGGAGCAGAGATCATCTTGAGTACCACCACATGGCACGTACAGGACAGGCAGGTGATCAGGCCCAGTTAGTGTGGGTTTCTGAAAGGCAGGTCCTGCTTGACTAATGTGATCTCCTTCTATGACAAGGTGACCCGCCTGGTGGATGAGGGAAAGGTTGTGAATGTTGTCTACCCAGACTTTAGTAAAGCCTTTGACACGGTTTCCCACAGCACTCTCCTGGAAAAACTGGCTGCTCATGGCTTGGACGGGTGTACTCTTCGCTAGGTAAAAAACTGGCTGGATGGCTGGGCCCAAAGAGTGGTGGTGAGTGGATTTAAATCCAGTTGGTGGCCAGTCACAAGCAATGTTCCCTAGGGCTCAGTACTGGGGCCAGTTCTGTTTAATATCTTCATCAAAGATCTGGACGAGGGGATCAAGTGCACCCTCAGTAAGTTTGCAGATGACACCAAGTTGGGCAGGAGTGTTGATCTGCTCGAGGGTGGGGAGGCTCTACAGAGGGATCTGGACAGGCTGGGGCGATGGGCTGAGGCCAACTGTATGAGATTCAACAAGGCCACATGCTGGGCCCTGCGCTTGGGCCACAAGAGCCCCGTGCAATGCTACAGTCGTGGGGAAGAGTGGCTGGAAAGCTGCCTGGTGGAAAAGGACCTGGGAGTACTGGTCGACAGCCAGCTGAATATGAGCCAGCAGTGTGCCCAGGTGGCCAAGGTGGCCAACAGCATCTTGGCTTATATCAAAAATTGTGTGGCCAGCAAGACTAGGGAAGAGATCGTCCCCCTGTACTCAGCACTGGTGAGGCTGCACCTCAGTTTTGGGCCTCTCACTACAAGACTGACACTGAGGTGCTGGAGCATGTCCAGAGGAGAGCCACAAAGCTGGTGAGGGGTCTGGAGCACAAGTCTTACGAGGAGCAGCTTAGGGAACCGGGGTTGTTCAGCCTGGAGAAGAGGAGACTGAGGGGAGACCTTATCACTCTCTACAACTGCCTGAAAGGAGGGTGTAGCGAGGTGGATGTTGGGCTCTTCTTCCAAGTAACAAGCGATAGGACGAGGGGAAATGGTCTCAAGTTGCACCAATGGAGGTTTAGATTGGACATCAGGAAAAATTTCTTCACAGAAGGGGTTGTCAAGCACTGGAATGGGCTGCCCAGGGAAGTGGTGGAGTCTACATCCCTGCAGGTATTTACAAGATGTGTAGATGTAGTTTAGTGGTGGCCTTGGCAGTGCTACGTTAACAATTGGACTCAATGATCTTAAGGGTCTTTTCCAACATGGAGGTTTAGATTGGACATCAGGAAAAATTTCTTCACAGAAGGGGTTGTCAAGCACTGGAATGGGCTGCCCAGGGAAGTGGTGGAGTCTACATCCCTGCAGGTATTTACAAGATGTGTAGATGTAGTTTAGTGGTGGCCTTGGCAGTGCTACGTTAACAATTGGACTCAATGATCTTAAGGGTCTTTTCCAACCTAAAGGATTCTATGTTTCTATGTGCATATTCAAAAGGTGACTTCCCAATAAGTACTATTTGTTCTTATCGGGTATATGAAGATGCATAGACCAAAACTATTCACCAAATCAAAAGGTACCAAAAAGAAGAGACTGAAGGCAACATGAAACAGGCAAAACATATCAACATAATTGCTTATTTACAAGAACTTTTTACTAAATTTATATGCCTTAATATGAGATTACTGTTTCAGGTTGGGTCTGTATCCTTGTTTTTCTGTAACCTTTTGGAAATGTGAAGGTCAGTGAGAAGTTACTAACCCAGGCACTTTTTACTCAGCAAAAAAATTTTGTGTGTCTATGTGAGAATCCTGGTGTCATGGAAGTTGTTCAAAAATCCTTTTCCTGCCCTTTTTCAGTAGAACCAGGGTTTTCTTCTTTGTTTATAAATTGTAAGCCAAGGCAAAACTGAAGGACTATTCTAGCTGTAATTCACAGAACCTGCCCTGATTCTCTAGATGATAGGATAATCATGATATTAAAAATAAATGAGATTTTACTTTGTTGTTGTTTTTCTTCTGGCACTCTGTCTCAGTACACTTAGAAGAGTTAGAATGTTTACAATGTGTATTTACATGCTTTTATGTTGTTCTAAGTGGTAATCTTGCATGTTAAGGCTAAGCAGGAGAATAAGGCTAAAAAAAAAAAAATGTGCTTGATTGCAGAGTCATGGACAGAGACAAAAGTCACCACAAGATGACATTCATGATCTAGGAGAAGAATTCTGTCAATGGTTCTTTGAACTCCTGAATTCTCAACATCCCTTGGGAGTAAAATCTGAAGAAAGATGGGGACCACAGCATTTTTGGGAGGATGCCAGAATGAAGTTCTGTTACAACACATTAGAAAAAAACACAGAAGAATATGTTGGTGCAGAAATGGTGAGCCTTCGCCTGCTCTCCTTGGTTAAAGAAGAATATCTTCTCTTCAACCCTAATTTGCATGCCAATGGACTGAAATGTGCCATGTCTCGACATGGGTTAGTACTGGTAGCAGTGGCTGGCACTGTACATAGAGACCACACTTGTTTGGGCATCTTTGAGCAAATTTTTGGACTCATTAGCTGTCCCCTTAGGGAGAATACCTGGAAAATAAAAGTTTTGAATCTTAAAATAGTTGGACAGAATGCTCTGGAGCCTGGGATGCAAATTGAAAAACCTTCCATAAAATATGACTCAAACCAACTGCAAGAGTTTTATGATGGGAAAGAACTGTCCGTGTTTGAACCTCATAAATTCTGAGCAATTCTTTCACAACGGAGTGACTGGGGTGGGACACGCACACACGACATACAGCACTTGTAGTGCATAGTTGAATGTTGAAATGGCTGCAGCCATGTGATGTCTCTTTTTTGAGTCCTCCATTTGTTGGATGACAAACTGAGATACAGAGTCTAAAGTATTAATACAGGTGATGCTTTTGGGCACCTTTCCAGAGCTAACAAATATTTCAGAGTATTACTTTAGATTTTGTACTGCAGTTAGGAATGGAGTTAGTTTAGTTATTCTTGGTTACAAAACACAGTTACATTTACATATGGGTTGCAGCAGTATGTAATGAACTAGGTGACAAGGGGTTCACAATCTGCAGGTTGCTCCTCTTCAGGTCACCAGTTTAAAGTCTTATCTGAGTTGTAAGAGAAAGTCATTGCTTCTGGCTTTTTGAAACTGGGACTGGTGAGTGTCTAAATGGACATCCAAGTCCCAAGAAAACCATCTGCCGCTTTAGGAGTTTTTGGAGAGAACAGGCAAAATAACATGAATGCTGCCGTTTATGTTCTAAATGTGGTTACTGAACCCCAGAAGTCGTTTAATGGGACAATGCAGGGAACTTGGCATTGCTGAAGACTTCTTGGGTTAATAGCTTCCTTTCCTTTTACTTTATGGTTCCAACTCTGTAATGAATAATCTGTTGTTCGATCTGTGTCCCCAAGCAGACAAATTTCAGATGGTTGCCCAGGTATCCGTTTCTAGCACTGACTCTCTTGGATCAAGTAGTTAATTTCATGACTTAGAGCAGCACTATATGAACCAAATGCTTTGATAATTATTTTGTATGTACTTACAACAGAGTTTTTAATATAATGGTTGTGATTTTGGTATGTTTCCTCAAAATAAGAGTTTTATCCACTCTGAGATGCTTTACTACATTGACTAGAAGTCAATTTGTTGACACTGGGGAGTTACAACTACAGGTGGTGTTAAATACATAATCCAATTACTACTTAATAACTGAAATTATTGCCATTGCAGAACTTGAATTTTTTTACTTTTTTTTTTTTTTTTAAAATTTATAAGGGTTTAGAGGTGAAACGAGATGAAAACTTTTTCTGCAGCTTGCTTGGATTGTTTTCGAGTTTTGTTTTAATTTTATAGCTTCACCAGTACAAGTTGTGAAAATGGAAACATTCCCCGTAACATGGGAACAGTTCTTTTAGTTTTGATATGTTTGTCAAAGATGACAAATGGGAAAATTATGAGTGGGTGAGGGGAAACAAGATTTGGGTATGCACAGAACTGATTTTTATGAACAGTCTGAATCTCGAGTTCTCTTTAAAAATTTCTAAAATAATTTATTTTCTAAGCAAAAGTGCGTTGGAATGTTCTTTCGCAATAAACAGTTGAGTTGTGGCTTCTTCAGCTACTGATGTATAATAAATAAAAATCAAGCCGAATGTAAAATTTGGAAGAAGCAGTTTCCTCCTATGTGTTGAGAATTGCATTCCTTTTGAGGTGAGGACAAAAGCCTACCTAAGGGCCTAAATGGGTACCTTTTCAACATTCAGTATGACAGTCTGTAATTCAACTAGATATTTTGCTGTTTGCAGAACTGTACTTTGTGACTGGCAGCATAGCTGTTACTTTAGTCAGTGTGTTAAATATGAACATGACTATGGGTGTAGTTTTCATTACTGCTTTAAGCTGATGAGGTGCGGGAGGTCCCCTACCTCCACTCAGAGGGGGATGTCCTTGCTTCCTTCTTGTGTCAGCATTAATGCTTGTGCCAACTCTGAGCAAGAGGGAGTGAGGACTGATCCCAGTGAAAACTCCCTCATTATCAGAAGCCCTTCAAGCTGATCGGCTCTATAAGAAGGCTGGCCATACAAGTGCTAGTGTCAGCTTGAGGAACTTGAGTAACAGAGAACTTGAGGAACAATTTGCTTTTTTTGGTGATGATCTGAATTTCTGTGGGATTAAGCAAGTGATCAAATAGCAGCCTTTGTTAATTCTTACATTCCGAATGTTTATGCTCGATAGCTTCAAAATAGTTGAATGTAAGGAGCATTGTGGTAAATCAGCTTTTCACTAAGGCCAGTAGCTAATGAACTTGTTCTTACTCCTTCAGTTCTCCTACACAAAGTATGCAAGAAAATGTTAAATTGTCACAGGCTTGTGACCTCTCTGGAATTCCTTGTTCTGGTGCAGCGTGGAGTAGGTGCTGTATGATTTACCGATGACCTGTTGGTGCAGTTGCTGCTCTTGCATTGTTGATCAGGCTGTTAAGAATCTGCATACATTAGTCCGTGCTCATTAGCTGCAGAATGATAACTGATTTTTGCAGCAGCTAATTTTGGCGTGTGCTTATGGGTTGCTTCAAACTGAGTTACCAAAGGGCAGCTGGTAGCAGCAGCTGATGAGCAGCTGATGGCTGCTGATGGGCAGTACAGTATCTACGTACAGTATCTGTTCTTTACAGTCTCACCACCTACCTGAACATTTGGTAGGCACTGACAGTCAGCTGATGCTGAGTAACTCTGGGTTTGCAGTTATTAACCGGTACGACTTTCTATCTTGTGATACACCTTCCTCTTTTAATCCCAGGCCTGCATTCTCTCTTTCAAAAGCATACTCGTCCCTTCTAACTGCATTTCACTTCCACTTGGAAAAAAGGATTCCAGTTTTATAATGGTTCTGCAGGCTCTGCATCTTGCAAGGAGGCAGAACGGGGTTTTGAAAGTTGCCGCCTGACCAGTCAGCACCAGTTGACCTGTTTTGCAGTCAGGCTGTAGGGGACGCAGAGAGGTGGTGGTGCCTCTGCCCGTTGACATTTTGTGCATGTTCATTTTGTGCCACGCGAGAGTTGTGAGATCGTAGCTGCAGTACTGCACCACAGGATATCACAGATATTTTTCCGGTGTTCTGATTGTTGTTTATAATATGTATCCTTACAGGGAGTTCAGAATTCAATTTTCAAATCATTGTTACATTCAGAATTTTTTTTTTTAAGAGTAGAAAAACTCTAACTGCAGGGTAAATTTGAGAAGTTACTTTTAGCTTAACCTTGACTTTAAGGAAAAAGTTAAGACTTGTGTAAATGGCGTACAGCCAAAAAACTTGAAATATTTATGGAAGTGAGTTCATCACTCCCTCTAGATGCTGTTATTCAGAGCTGAGGTAACTTCTAGTTGGTTTACCTTTGGAAATAATGGACATTTTAGTTGCCTTTAGGAGATTAAAAAAAAAAATAAAACTTCTTCAGAACAGTTTTCATCAATTTCCTCTGTATCACTATTTAGTCAAGGTTCAAGACAAGGATTTTCAGTTGCAATTTCTTATGTCTATCACTAGTACTTAAGCTGAAATGCTAAATTTATATTTTGTAGATCTATCTCTGGAAAGTAATTTGTCAGTAAACAAAATACTGACTTGGGCCAAAGCAGGCAGAACTTTCTGAATTGTATAAATGTTGAACAGTGGAAATCATGGCCCTCTCTTACAATCAGCCACACTAGATGGATTTAATTCTTTTGGCTCTGAAGTAGGAAGCTTGAATGTCTTAAAGCAATATAGAAGCAGAGCCTCTGTGATCATGCAGGCCACCTAACTTACTGCAGGCTATGCTGTATTGCTTTGGCTGTGCTTACTCTCCTTATGCAGAAGAAGAAAAGTAATTACAAGGAGACCTTACACAGAGCATTAAATGAGTTCTGACTTGTGTCTGTGTCCTGGTTTCGCTGGGACAGAGTTAATTTTCTTCCTAGTAGCTGGCACAGCGCTGCGGTTTGGATTTAGGATGAGAAGAATGTTGCTAACACCCTGATGGTTCAGTTGTTGCTGAGCAGGGCTTGCACCAGCCAAGGGCTTCTCAGCTTCCCCTGCTCTGCCGGGTGCACAGGGAGCTGGGAGGGGGCACAGCCGGGACAGCTGACCCCCACTGGCCAGACCATAGGACGTCACGCCCAGTATAGAAACTGGGGGGAGTTGGCCGGGGGACAGCGATCGATGCTTGGGGATGGGCTGGGCATCGGTCAGCGGGTGGTGAGCAATTGCACTGTGCATCACTTGTGTATTCTACTATTATTAATTATTATTATTATTTTATCTTCCTCTGCTGTTCTATTAAACTGTCTTTATCTCAACCCATGGGTTTTACTTTTTTTCTTCCAATTCTTTCCCCCATCCCACTGGGCCGGGGGAGGGAGGAGAATGAGTGAGGGGCTGTGTGGTGCTTAGTCGCTGGCTGGGGTTAAACCACAGCAGTCTGTGGTCTAAATATCCAGCAGTGCTCAACTGCACGTTATTTTCTGAAACTTTAGAATAGTAACGAAAAGAATGTGTTTTCTTTGGATGCTCACTTCCTCCATTAAATTAAATTTGTAAGTGTATTTAAGAATTTGTAAAAGGTGTCTAATAATCTTCATCTGTGTCCTGCTTGCTTAGTAATCCGAAGAGGAAATCTTAAGGTTGATGGCTAGTCTTCATCAAAATACTTGCTAGGTTGTACGTTCTCCCCTCGTAAATTGCAAGGGTAGATGCACATTGCCTTTGCAGATTTCACTGCCTGTTTTTCTTTGTTTCATAATGCACCTACCATTAAGTGAGCTGTCAGTTTGCCTGTTTCCTACAGCCAGTTCCCTGAACCTAAAAACCCCAACGCTTATTTCAGGTACTGTTTCAAAAGGTGTGGCCTCTTCATTGCTGCTGGAAAGACTATTTCACATCTCAGATAAGCTCTAGTTTATTGGTTAACAAATTTATTGTAATACACTCCGGTGGTGGCTGCAGAAGTAGCTCAGATTGAGGAAAACAATTTGTTTGGAATTGTGATAGTTTTTTCACCTTGCTGTTTGCAAGCAATAGCATTTCTCACATTGGCTGCCGAGTGCCTACAGTCCCCTTCACGTATCTTAACTGAAATTAGGCAGGATACAAATGACAAGGTTTCTTTGCGAAGCACTCTGAAACTGCAGGTTCTTAATTCCGTGGGGGGTCTGGGTGCCTTCAGCAGCACATAGACCTCCTAATTAGCAGTCGTTATTTTGAAATGGGAAGCTAACAGTACGTCAGACACTGCATGCTGCTAAGGACGTTTCTTCGAGCTAAGGGCTTGGTGGATCCAAAGTAAAGCCTGCTGTGGGAGGTGGGAGTAGGCAGATGTCTGCAGGAGAATCTGCTGTGCTAACCCATCTTCTGCTCCGTTGTTTGACCAGATGCTCGTGCTGTGTTTTTTCAGAACAGGCTATGGGAAACTGCCTTAATGCAGTACACCTCATAGACACGGAGTTTATGCTTTTCAAATAGTAGGAATTTGACTCAATTTGTAAAATCTGTACTAACTTTTTTTGGCACTTGAAATAATTTGCATAAATCAAATGCTTTTTGTGGCCTGTAGCTGAAAACTGATTGAGTATGAATTATATAATTGTTTAAAGAGAGCAAGAGATCTAAAGATGGTGATGGAATGTGTAGAATAAGTTCATCCTACAGAGCAATGCCAGGCAGTACCTGGTGGCAGAAGAAGTCCTAGTGCTACGAGATGTGAAAGGTGATTGCAGCAGCAAGGCCGTATTGTTGCAGAGTACTGTATCTTTATCCTTTCTGTATATTTTATTAAATGTGAAGATCTAACACTACATATAATGTGCAAATGCAGCTACTTTGCCAGCAAGACATTACTGGCAACTACAGTGTTTTCTTGTATCAGTCTTCAAGCATCATCTGCTGCAATTTTTTTTTTATTTTTTTTTTTAGCTTGTGACTGATTTATTGATATCTTCAAACTAAAGGGAGAGAACTCAACAGGTTTAACTGTTATGTATGAAGAACTGAAAGAGAAAAATGTTTGCTCGAAATATTGATTCCTCCCCCCCCCAATTCCCAGTTATTTTGGACAAATGTCACATACTTTTGACAAAGCAGTTTTAAAGAGTCACAGATATTTATTAGGGTGGAGTCTAAAGATGGGTAAGTTAAGGCCACATTGTTGTTAGCTGCATGCTAATGCATGCTCATATTTGAAATTCAGTGTTGAGGCACTTCCAAGACCATGAATGACACAAGCAGCTAAATAAGGCATTCCAGGTGATGAACTTTAGCATTTCTTTATTGTTCTGCTTTTATTTTTTTCCTGTTCTAATTGCCTTCATTATGGCAGGAAATCTTCCATGCTCCTTTGTCAGGAGGCAATTCTGCTGCTTTTTGCATTGCTTGCTGTTTCTTGCAATCCCTTACCTTTCTTGATATCTTGTTCTTTTTCCCCTATGTGTTTGAGAAGAGTAAATTATGCAAGGTGATTAAGTTCTGTAAAAAGACAAATACAGGACTTCAGTAAAGAGAGCACAAAATCATAGGATCTGGCTTTCAGCTCGTGAGATGTATTTCAATGTTCAAAGGATTTTGTTTTTGAAGAGACAGATTTGAAGTCTTTTTTTCAGGAAACAAAGTAGAAATCCTTAGTTAAATGTCGTGTTTCTCCCACAGCTTGGAATTAACAGGAACTGCCGTCAACAACTCTTTCTCCAGATGTCTTTCACTCTGAACCGTCAGGATCTGGTTTTGAGTCTGAGGTATTCACCAACGCGGAGCATGGGGCTCTCCTCCCTTCCGGACAGTGATGACACACTTAGGGTGCAGTTGCCGATTCCAGTACTGCTAATAGCAGGGACCGTAGCAGCCAGAGGCAGGGAAGAGGTAAACTCATTTAGTCCGCCCATCACTGAAGACTGATAAAAGATGGGTAGGGGAGGCAATTTTTGTGGGCCCATGCGCAGGAAGGTTGGAGGACAAGCAGCCGGCAACTGATAGCTGTGGCCATCAGAGCAGGGCTTGCTGGAGCGCCTCCTTAATCGAGGAGGGAAAGACATTAAAGATGTGTATGGATACTGACAACATTTCCACCGGTGTTAAAATCCTTAATCTGAGACTCTGAGTGTCAGTTTGTGACCAATGAGAAGTTAAGCCTCTCTCTCTGGAAGGGTTAATTGGCCTGTATGCCACGTAAGGAAAGGCGGACTGCTCACTGCTGCCAGTCGGTGGCACGGAATCCTCTTCTTTTAAACTCGTTTGCAGCTCCGAGTAGCAGAGGGGAAGGACCTCGGGTAACCGTAGGGGGAACGGCAACCGCGCTGCCATCATCCCTGCCCCGTCTGCAGGAAATGCGGAGGCCGGGTTTAGTGTCGGCAGGCACAATGGCCGCTTGGTGACACCTGGTGGCAGGTTCATTGCTTGCTCGTAGTCGCACGCTTAATTAACCCGTGCCCTGCTGCGGGCAGAGGCGCTCGGGGCTTGCCCTGGAGGCGGGGGAGGAAGCGCCCGCTTTATCCCTTTCCGTGCTGGCACCGCGATGGCCCGACATTGCCAGGGGCGCCCGTGCCGTGATCCAAAGGAAGGCTCGGAGGCCATCCATCAGCCCTCGATAAGGATCTGAAGGATGTTCTAAAGATTTCAGTCCATCAGAGATGTCAAGCTGTGATATTCAGGGAACCTGTTGTTCTAGCGTTGTAGGGGGAAACACTGTGCCGCTAAGGCGGCTTCCTGGCAATAAAATTGCAGCTGACTTGGTAACAAATGCATTACTTTGGGCGCCTGTTTCCCTGTTTTCTTTTGGTCTTTTTTCTTTTTTTTTCTTTTTTTTTCTTTTTTTTTCTTTTTTTCTTTTTTTTCTTTTTTTTCTTTTTTTTCTTTTTTTTCTTTTTTTCTTTTTTTCTTTTTTCTTTTTTCTTTTTTCTTTTTTTCTTTTTTTCTTTTTTCTTTTTTCTTTTTT